CAAAAACAAAATTGACAAACCACAGGCAAAGGCAAAGAAAGAGAATGTGCAAATATCTAGAATTAGAGATGAAAGGGGAGACATCACAATAGATCCAAATGGCATAAAAAGAACAGGAACACATCACTACTCCAACAAGTTTGATAACTAGAAGAAATTGACAAATATCTAGAAAAACGCTATACCCAAACTAATACAGATGTGTGTAGAAAACCTAAATACACCCATAACAAAAAAGAAATAGAAATGTCACCAAGAGACTTCCAACCAAGAAAAGCCCAGGACCAGATAGCTTCACAGTGTTTTCAGGAAGAGCTTCCACCAGTTCTACACAGGCTATTCCAGAACATAGAATGGGACAGCAAACTGCCAAACTCATAATATGAAGCAAACATAATCCTGATATCAAAACCCGGCAAAGACAGAAAACTAAAGACCAACATCCCTCATGAACATAGATGGAAAATTTCTCAACAAAATTCTGGCCAATAAAATCTAACAACATATCAAAAAAACTGTTCATCATGACCAAGTGGAATTAATATTGGGGATGCAAGGATGGCTCACCATTAAAAAAAAAACAAACAACCCATCACTGAAATCCACCACTTCAGCCAGACAAAGAATAAGAATCACATGAGCATATCGCTAGATGAATGAAAAGCACATGACAATATCCAACACCTATTTCTGATATTCACACTCAGTAAAATAGGAAAGTAAGGGAAATTCCTCAACATAAGAACGCCATATACAAAAATCCACTGGAAAATATCACAATCTTTGAGGAAAAACAGAAAATATTTCCCTTGGAAATGGGGATTAGACAAGGGTGCCCTTATCACTGCTATGATTCAACATTGCGCTGGAAGTCTTAGCTAGAACTATTAGACAACAGAAAGATGAATTACATATTTTATATGGAGAGGGAAAAGACTCAGGATCAGCAAAGAGCTTTTCGAAAAGAAGAACAAAGTAAGAAAGTTGGCACAATACAACCTTAAACCATACTATACAGCCACCGTAGTCAACCATCCTGCTACTAGTACAATGACAGAGACATAGGCTAATGGAACAGGATTGGATCCCCAGAAATAAAAGCATCCAACTATAAGCAACTGGTTTTTGTGACAATGGACTCCCCCCATTAAATGAGAAAGGGACACCCTCTTCAATAAATGGTACTGTAAAAATGTTGTCTCCACCTGCAAAAGAAAGATCCATGTGCAAGTTCTGCATGAACATAATGAAGTGCTCTGGAATGACCATTCTTTCCTCTACTTCCTTTCACCTTCCTCTTATCCCACTATCATGCTCACCCTTCAGTATTTCCTCTCGGATACATTGCTCTTGATCAAGCCCCACTCAGCATTATACACCCTCCTCACCATCAATTTTAGATCTCTTGTTGTTCCCATCTCTCTGAGTTTTTTGGCTCCCTGCTCCCCCTCCCCAACCCCTCCTCTCCCATGTGCTCCAGAATCGCAGGTCCTGTAATTTTCTCCTCCGATTATTCATCCTGCCTATCTTACATAGATAGACATAGGGAGAAAGAAAAAGGAAAACAAACAAAAATAAAACAATAAAACAAACAACACCAAACCAGAGAAAACAACCAAACAAACAATAGATAGTTCCAGGTTGGTCTGCTGACCATTATGTATTTTTCTGATCAAGTCTGATGAGGTGCCATACCCTGTCTCCTAGGTCAGAGTCTGTTTCAGGGTTCCTCTGGGACTGGTTACTTTGCTCCCCTTGCTGCCCAGCTGCACTCCCTTCGCCTTTCACCCCACTGTGCATGGGGCAGACTGGGGTCACTTTCTGCACAATGTCTCCAGTGCTGTTCCCCACAGCGCTATGGGTCAGTGAGGGAACGTCATGTCTCGTGGTGGGGCCGGCCCTCCTGTCCTCTCTAATGCACTGGCTGCTCCGAGTAGGGATGTTGTCCCTGGGGCTTGATGGACCATGATGAGGTCCACTCTCTCTCTCTTTCCCTCTTAGTTCGCTCCTGTGTGGTCTGGACAGACCTGCCTCTCCCCCTGGGATATATTTTCAGTGCTGTCTTCTGTATTGCCTTCTTCTGGGGAGAGGGTCAACAGAGCTCAACTGGGGCCTGGCCCCATTAAGCTCTTTATTAGTTTGTTGCTCCGTGCCAGGATCAGGCCATATTTTGTTCTGCTGTACATAGTGTCACTATGAATCAGTACTGACTCAATGTCACCCTATAACAGCAGCAGCAGCACATATTGTAGGCATTCTCAGAATGTTTACTAATGTGCACTGCATCTTTACAGGATGCAACAGCACTTAATCAATGCTTTTGTTCCATTCTCTTTCCTTTGTAATTGCGGTACCAAACCAAGCCAAGCTCACCGTCATCAAGTCAATTCCAACTCGTGGTGACCCTATAGGACGGAGCAGAACTGCCCCGGTGGGTCCAAGACCGTAGCTCTTTACAGGAGTGGAAAGCCTCATCTTCATCCCACGGAACGACTGGTGGCTTCAAACTGCTGATGTTTTGGTGAGCTGCCCAACTCCTAATCCACCACACCCCCAGAGTCCCTGTATCGATATGACAAAACGTTTGCCAATGCCTTTTACCTGTGTAATTCGGTGCAGTTGATTATGTTCATCAAGTTGTAAAAGCATTACATATTTTTCTAAATTATTCCACCACCGCCACCACCACATGATGTGGATGTGTGTGTGTGTGTGTGTGTGTGTGTTTATCCCCATGCTTGAAGCACAGGCACTAAGCATAGGCACCTACCCACTAGGCATTTCTCTTGTGTCCATCTCTCCTCTTCCTTGCCAGGAGAGTACTCACCTCCCATGATCAAGACTGCAATGCCAAATACTTGACTTCTCAGCTTTCTTTGCACCCCTAACAGGGCCATATTCCCTGTTTATAGTAAATGGATTGAAGGGGGACGTCTACTGGGGACTTCTAGTTTTTCTGATTGAAAGAGACACACGGAGGGATATTCCTTTCCTGTGTTTTGACGTGGTTGTGTGAAGGCACGACGCCTGGATCGGAAACAGCCTTTCTCCTCAGGGATACCCCCTGAAGAGAAAGTCAATGTGACAAGGAGGGTGGGGCGAAAAGATGTCAGCAACCTGGGCTCTCAATGGCATCACCAAACCTGGCACCCTAGATTTTCAGTTATGCAAGACAGTGAGTGCTTAAGTCACTTTGCATGGGCCGCTCTTTACTCAGAGGGACAAGCACCCTCCTTTTCCTCCTGGAAAGAGTGGACAAGCCGGTCTGTCCAATCAGACGGGCAGGGGTGAGCTCTCAGCCCCACCAATGGTCATTGTATGTCCTCTTCAAAGCCGTTTCCTCACTGAGGAGATGGTGGAAGCAATCGTATTGGCTTCCTGTTGGGTGGTTGAGACAATGGGGGTCTTGGCACATAGTTGGTGGTCATTAGTGAGGAATTTTAATTATTCTTATCGATCGTAGAAGTAGTCTCTTGTAGTTCCTGACACATTGCCTAGCGTATTGCAGCACAGAGCGTGGGAGCAATCCTGACCCCTTGAAACCTCATTTTACAGAAGGAGAACCTGAGGCCAAGGGAGGGGATGCCCTCCAGGCCCTTGTATTTTGAAGCACATGCAAGTGCCTATCTTCCCCCGCATCACTCAGTTCCACTCACAACGGGACACAACAGAAGAGCCCAGGCCTGGTTGAAATGATGTGCTTTTATGGGAAGCAAACAAACAAAAATATCCAACAACAAAAGCCCTCCAATCCCGCCAAGGTCTCAATCAGTGGTAATGAGGCAGTTTCGATGATTGTGACTGGCTGGGGACATTTCCAAAGGTCAGGAAAGTTGAAAGACATTGGCCAAAAAGGAGAAGTTTCAGGGGAGGGTTGACATTTGACATGTTAAGTGAAAGTACACTAGACCTCCCTTCCGGCCCTCTGCCCGTCACCCTTTTAACTTCCAGTCTCTTCCGGGTTAACTGAAGATCCTTCTTTAATTTTGCTCAAACACAGTCTCTTCTAGAAAGCGTTCCCTGGTCTGCAAGCAGCTCCACGGGCCTTTCTGGCAAAGCCACACTTCCTCGTGCTCGCTCCTGTCACTTTCTGCCTTACGTTCGGGTCTGGGAGCATGCGTAACTGCCCCCCACTATCCATAGGGCCGTGTTGATTCATCTCAGTGTCTGCACCCCTCCCCACCGGGTGCTCAGTATGCAGCAGGTGCTCAGCAGCAGCAGGTGCTCAGTGAAGGTGTGCTGAGTTGAACTAAGGTCTACATTTGCTGTGTCCAGTGACCAGCCTCTTGAGAGTCATTACTTGTCACTTGCACTTCATCCTTCCTCCACAACCTCAGCCTGGCCTGACTCAGGTGGCTTCATGGAGGGAGCGTTTGGAGAGGGGAGGAGAGAAGGCTAAGTTTTCTACTCCTGCTCCCGAAGACAAGGAGGTAGGAAAGGCAGCTCCCAGGGGAATCCAGGATGGTCCTGAGAAGTGCCGACCAGCCCTTCACTTGGAATCTCAGAGGGAAGCCATCCTTGTAAAAAACTCCCCGCATGAAAACTCCACGTGCACGGAGAGGCCTGAGGGCTGTCAGGGGACCATGGATCAGCAGGCACAGACCTGGAGCCTTTCTTGGGCACGTGACCGGCATGGCCTCTCAAGAGGGTGGCTGGCGATAGAACATCTAGTGGATCAGATGGAGCTATAGTGGGAACGCTAGCCCTGTGCTGTGTTGAGGTGTCAGGCACATAGATTGTAGTAAGGCTGAAGCACAGGCTGCAGGAAAGGACCTCTCCTGCAAAGAAAGACCAGAGGGCGGGAGGGAGGCTGGGAGGAGGGAGGGTGAGGGCAGCTTCCAGAGGGTTCTGCAGCTCCAATTGCAACAGGGGTCCTGCTCCTGCCCCAGGGCCCTCCCCTTCCTTCCTTCTCCCAGTGGGAGCCAGCCAAAGCGGCCAGGCTGCAGGGCCATTCAGAAGTGGGGAGGGAACACACGTGCCTTGTTTTCTTTTCCTACCAGGAGCCCCTGGTTCAGACCAGGGAGAGCGTGTAAGGAGACAGGACAGAAAGAGGAAAGTTACACAGCTGTGGGGAGGCCCCGCCCCCGCCCCCTGTGGTTCACTGGTGTGTGGAGGAGATTGGAGGCCCAAGCTCACAACGGGGGCCCATCACCCCCAGAGAGCACCCAAGTCCTAATAAGGGGACCAAGAAAAAGCTTCTCCCGGCTCTCAAAGGCGCTCCGTGACTTTGGGCGATCCCTGCGCCTCCTCCGTGGGGAACCCCGCCCGCCGCTGGGCCAAGGAGGCCCACAAATGGCAAGGTGATGCTGACTGGAGGCCCGGGGCCCCGGGATGCAGCCAGGAGGGAGGCTTCTGCAGGCGCCGCTCTTAGGAGAGGGAGTTGGGTTTCGGGGGACAGATGTTTTAGTAGAAAAAAGATCCCCAAGAAAAGGGCGGGAGTCCCCAATCACATCCCTTCCCAAATCGCACAGCACTTAGAAAAGAGAAGGTGAGGGGTATCAAAATGTCTCGATGGCGTGGGCTCGCCTGGCAGCGCAGACAAGCGCGTCTCAGGGCAGGCAGCAAGCCCCATTACATGAGAAAGGGCTGCACTGCGCTTCAGGATAGAGAGCTTACATATATCTTTATATAAATGCACATATATATTTATAGAGCCTCCGCCTAGAACAGCCGGGCTTGCTTCTTCAGTTCATTCCGCTTCCAGAGGGCCAGCCGGTCAAACTCGGAGATGGTCATGCCGAAGACTTGGTAGAACTCTTCCTGGGACAGGTGGCGCTGAAAGGAGGTGTGAGGGGACAAAGGGGACAGTGTGAGCATGGAGATGGCAGCTGGAGGTGGGAGGCAGAAGGCAGGAGTGGTCACTCTGTGCTCCTATTGGGACCCTGGGCCTGAGGAAGACCTATGATCTCTATTTGCAGAATGAATGTTGGAGAGATGGAGGGTGCCCCCGGGGGCGTCGGGGGTCTCTGCAGCTGATCTGGCTAGAGAGGCCTCACTCTTTGCGGCTTCCTGCACCCAGGTCTCCCCTGGCCTGGTCTCCACTTCAGTGGGACTCGTGATGCCCCTAAGCTTCTGGTCCATCCACCTTTCTGCACTCCTGCAAGTTGAGTCCTGAAGAAAATTAACTAGGAATGCTACCCCCTCCCCCTTGAGAGGTAAAGGAAGGATTGTCAAGTTTTTAGGGTGCATTTCTCTCTCTCTGTATATAGATTTTAGGATATATATGTATATATACATCCTAACACACACACACACACACACACACACACACCCACACACACACACCCACACACTTAGGTTCCTAACTACAAGGTCAGTAGTTCAAGACAGAGCTGTCTATAAGAAACCCACAGGGGATAGTTCTACCCTGTCCTACGAGGTCACTGGGAGCGGCCATTGCCTCTCTGGCCTTCCCAGGCTAGGCCATGAACCCCGTACCATTGAAATGGGATTTCCGAGGGGCTCCTTTCAATACTCACCAGCCCTGAACAACACCCACAATCCCTTGCTTCATTTCTATTGGGCTCAATCATTTATGAACACAATCTCTTCCTCTTTCTTTTTCTCAGTAACCCTTTCTACTACCCTGGAAACCAGGCACGGTCTTTTATCCCAGCTGAAGAGGAGAACACTAAGGGCCGAGAATTAAAGTGACGGGCTTGTCCGAGAGGGAGAGAGGGCCGGGCATGGGGTGGTGGTGGGAAGGACAACAGGTAAGTAGCCAAGGTGGGCGCACTGCCTGGCCTCCGACCTCACATGCACAGGGCGTGTTCTATCCTGGCGGCTTGCCCCATTTTGAGACATTCATCACGACGTCTTTTCACGACGGGAAGTTGCAGCAACTCACAGAGTCAGAGACACAACACAGCACACCCCATGCCCATTTCCCAGGCTCCATCGTCATCAAGAGCTTTCCTTGACAAGTGCGTCCGAGAAGAATTGCCGTTGGTGTTGGGCTAAGAGTTTGCCGTGCGTGGCTCCATTTATCTCCTTCCTGGTTTCTTCTGCTGAAGCGTTTGGAAGGAAACCCTAGACACCGTGCCCTGGAAGCATAACTGGCTAAGCGCCCGTCTGCTGGCTGCGGGGGTGACAGCAGGAACAAGACCCGCTTGTGCACAGAGAATGCCAGGCAGCGCTGTGGGGCGTTCTCCTCTGCCACCTGGGGTTGCTGCCAGTGGAAACGGACCTGATGGCACCAGACAGCCACAGCCACTGTGTCAGTCCACCCACTGCCAAACGCATCTAAAAACACCCCTTTCTCACCCAGTTCTCGGAAGCACGCGAGGGAGAGCAGTGGCTGTGCCTCACACTCCCTTCATCTAACTCCTGTGGCCAACCAAAGGCCCCACTGGTCTCCGAGTGCCTGGGCATGCCGTGGGTTTCTCTGACGAAGGGGTTGTTGGGTGCCCAAGTCTCCATCAGGGTCTGGAGGGCCTTGTGTTCCTTCCGGCCAGGGGCGTGTCCGGACCTGTTCTACTCTCACTCAGACGAAACCCCCCAGCTCCTGAGGGGCTTCTCCCTCTGCCCCTAACAGCAAAGGCGGAGGGAGACCGTAACACACAAAGCGGCCACCACCCAGTCGTTACTGACTCACAGCAACCCTACAGGACAGGGTCCAACTGCCCGGTGGGGTACGAGACTCCACCTCTTCAGGCGAGTAGGAAGTCTTGTCGCCCTCCCGCGAAGCAGCTGGTAGTTTTGACCTGCTGACCTCGTGGTTGGCAGCCCAACCCATGACCGCTCCCCCAACAGGGCTCTGGAGGGAATTCCTAAGGGAGCCTGATTTGGGCTTTTGGTGGGGTGAGGAGCTGTGGGTGGTCACTACTGATTTTGTAGTTGGCGTTCTCTAATGTGCCCTAAGCCCGTTGGGCATTTTTTTTTTTTAAACACATGAGGCTTGAAATAAGCCAGTGGGAGACAAAGCCTCAGGCACCCTGGTGGCACAGCGGTTAAGTGCGCGGCTGCTAACTGACATGTTGGTGGGAACTCACCAGCAGCTCCTTGATAGAAAACCCTCCTTGGCTGTCTGCTCCCAGAGAGGTAGAGCATGGACACCCCCCTCCCCGCCCCGGGGAAGCTCCACTTGGTCAGATAGGGCTGCGCTGAGTTGGACTGAATTGGATGGCCCCCGACAACCATGGTCTCCGCCTCCTGAGTCCTGGTGGTGCGATGATGACATGCCTGGCTGCTACCTGAAGACACCAGGGTTCCAACCCACCTGCTGTACCTCAGGAGAAAAGACCTGGAGGTGGGAATCCTGTGAGTGACAGCCCAGAAACCCTGTGGGGCAGTTCTACCCTGTCCCATAGGGTGGCCATGAGTCAGCATGGACCCCATGCTTCAATCGAAGCCACAACAGATTCAGTTTCAAGTCTGGTCATCCATGAAAGGATGGGGGTGGGGGGAGCAGACTAAGACCCCTCCCTTCCTTGACGAGCTAGCTTGAGCTGGCTTCCTCCTCCAGCTCCTTAGACGCAGACCACCAGCCTGCCCACTGCACGTGCCGCCAGGAGCCGGGGTGAAGGCTAAGAACACGGGCACACCTGCACGGCGGACCTGGTCAACCACTCCATCTCCCCGAGCCTCCATTTCTTCCTCAGCAAAGCCAGAGCCTGCCAGGTCCTGCCTCCTGGACGCTGCATGAGATGGCGCAGTCCGGATGCTCAGCCCAGAGGCTGGCGTGCGGTGTGCGTGCCGTCAAGGGTCCGGTCACGGCTGTAATCGTCTTTCCACGTGTCTGCCACCTGGCCCCCAGTCACATTGCCTCTCTGCGCATGGTTCCTCATTTTGCTCAGGCGGAAGCCAGAGGCCCTGCAGCAGCCCCTGGCTCTGGAATAATCCAGGGCTCCTTCCTTTGGCTCTCGCCTCCTCCACTCTCCCCTGCGCTCATCCGGGGTGCCGCCCACCTCCCGCTGCCCTCGAACACACCAGACGCACCCTTGCTACTGCCTTGCCATCGATTGCCCCTTCTGCCTTGATCACATCAGAACCCAAACCAGTTGCCACTGAGCTGATTCTGGGTCAGGGAGAACCCATGTGTGTCAGAATATAACTGAGCGTGACAGCGTTTTGAATGGCTGATTTTGGGGAAGCAGTTTGCCTGGCCTTTATTCTGTAGCACCTCTAGGAGCACTTGAATCTGCAGCCTTTTGTTCAGCTGTTGAGTGGGTTAACTACGTGTGCTGTTCAGGACTTCTCCTCTCCACAGAAGCATGGCTCACTTCCTTACCTACATCAAGTCTTTGCTCAAGTTTAAAAGGAAACCTACTCTGTCATGCCCCACCCCATTTAAAATGGCAACTCCTGCCTCCCCCTAACTCCCAAGCCCCTCCCTCTACTCTCCTTTTCCTTAGCACTTATTACCATCTACCATGCCGCAGCCTTTACCTTAGTGCCAGTTAAAGAAAGGATGCCCGCTGCAAGAGGGCAGGGGCCTTTGCCTGTTTTGTTCTGTAAGCACCTGTAACAATGTATCTAATAGCGCCAGTATCCTAGGCACCTACAGCCAAACCTAACTCACTATAATTGAGTCAATTCTATCTCATAGTGACTCTTAGGGAAGGTTAGAACTTTCCCTTTGCCCTTCTGAAGCTGTACATCTTTATGGGAGCAGGAAGCCTCAACCCTCTCCTTAGAAGTGACTGGTGGGTTTGAACTACTGACCTGGTAGTTAGCAGCCCAATGTGTAACGCACTATGTCACCAGGGCTCCTAGCACCTATAACGGTATCTCACATACATAATATGTCCTAAGCACCTATAGGGAGCCCTGCTGACCTAGTGGTTGCTTTTGGGATGCTAACCACCAGGTCAGTGGCTCAAAACCACCAGTGGCTCCATGGGAGAAAGATGAGGCTTTCTATTCCCATAAAGAGTTACTGCCTCAGAAACCCACAGGGCAATTCTCCTCTGTTCTGCAAGGTGCCATGAGTTAGAATCGACCGATGGCAGTGAGTTTGTTATGTGGGAAGACCTACAGCAGTATCTGGTACACGGGTTTTCAACAAGCAGTTGTTGGATGGATGGCTGTCTTGAATTTCCTGAGGACAGATTCAGGATCTCCCTCTGTCAGCTTCCTCCCTGTAGGGGCACAAGAAGCTAGGGCAGTGCCTCTAGCCCTGTAGCACCAGCTCTGGTCACACAATAGGGTCCCTGGAACTTAAAAAATATCCGATGTCTGTCTTGCCCTGCTAGATTGCGATTTAACTGGCTTGGAGTGAGTTCCGGTGTGGGTAATTGTAAGAAGCTCCCTGGGTGATTTCAGCCCTTCTGGGTGTCCTGCGGGATGGAGGAGAGCAGGGTGGTCCAACCATTTCCTTGTGGAGGTGGTGGGTTCCCGAGGCCAGCTGTGGGAGCTGTCCCTTCAGCACCGCAGATGCTCACTGCTAGACCGCGAAAGGAGCCCCTTGTAGATGTGGGAAGGATGGCTCACTTTCTGGGCTGTGAACCCCAGGCTGCAGGGAGGGCTGGAAGGCCCTCCAACCCCCTCACATCCTCCAACTCCTGCCTCAGTCCTCCAACCAGAGGAGTTGCTCTGACCCCAGACAAGCCCATGGTTGTCAGAGGAGAACTGCTCGCTCTAGGGCTTTCGATGGCTGCTTTTGTAAAAGGTGATCATCAGGCCTTGCTTCTGAGGTACCCGTGGGTGGATTTGATCTTCCAGCCTTCCAGTTCAGCAGGATGTGTTCACAATGTGTACCGCCTGGGGACTCCTGGTCCCCAACTCCCTACCCTCAGTAGCCGGGTTACGGGTAGCTCCTATGCCCTTCCCAAGTTGTCTGCGTTCAGTGTCAGAATCTCCCACCCTGAGCCCTGTGCTTGCTCTGTGCTCTGGAGACAAGAGTGAGGGGGGCTGGAGGCAGACGGGGGACATGCCATGTGCAGCAGGTATGGGAGGCTTTGGACCCCACGGATTTCTGTGTAGACCTCTGAGGAGAAGGCGGGTAGTGGGAGGGAAGGGCACTCTAGGGAGCGGGAGTGGCACCATGCCACAAAGGGCCGAGTGGGTTCATGATCAGAGGGGCCTGCGGCGAGTGCCCCAAACCCAGTAGACTGAGCTGCTTGCACACCCAGGTGCCAGGTTCAGCCCCATCCTGTAGTTCCCACAGCCTCAGAAGCTCTCCTCCCTTCATCCATCCATCCACCCCTGCCCACCTCCACCATCCAGCACATCCTTCCTCTTTCAAAAGCCTAGGTCAACCGATCCAGACCCCTGTGGTCCTTTCTGGGTGATCGCGTTCTAACATTCATCGAGTATTGACGCCTGGGAAGTGCTTCGGGTACGCAGTCTCACTGATTACGTGAGTCAAGCGGTCGGCCCAGCTGTGGACCAGTGCTGCTTCCCCCACCCTGTCCTGCCACGAACACCTATTTTCTGCACAGTCCTTCATAACACCAGTGGATCCCTTCTCTATCACCCAGATGCAAGCCCCTGAGAGCAGGGAACCAATCAAACTCTCTTCCTACACATCTGGCTGCAGAAGCATTGGCTCAGGTGCAGATACCTGTCTCTGTACATCACAGATGCTAACTGAATGAAAAAGGCGGCCTCTCAGAGGAGCATGAGGGAAAACCTAGGTCTATGACTTGGTCTTGCCCATTAGCTGTGTGGCCTTACAGTGATGTACCTCTCATGCTGCCCTCCAAGCAGGGGGCCGCTGGAATCCCTTCAGACCCCAAACCTGCACTCACCTCCAAACGAGTCCGGTCCACATCCTTGGGCAGCCGGTTCCTTCCTCTCGTGGTCACCAGCAGCAGCTCGTAAGGATAGATCTAAGGAGGAGGGGGGAGGTGTCTAAGCAGGAAAGGGTAGGTCTAAGGAGGAATGAGGGGCTGTCTCAAACTTGGGTGAGTGTGTGGGCACCTTGTCCCTTCCAACCACACTGGATGTCTATCCAGATCAGGACAGGCGTGCAAGTCTGGAGGGATTGGTGCAGGGTCTGCCATCCCTGGGGTTGCTGAGCGGGTTCAAAGCACCTCCTCCCAGAAGCAAGGCCCCAGAGCCCCTCTAGCGCTGCTGGGATGGGTGGCATTAGGCAGTCATGTGGGCACAAGGCCTGCAGTGTGTGTGTCACTATTTGGCCATTAAAAGCATCTAGAGAGTCCCTGAGGCCCAGGAGACTTATCTGATTTCAGGAGTCAAGAGATCCAGGGTGGACTGTTGGGTCAAGGAGGAAGGGAAAGGCTATCTGGGAAGGACCCTTGGGGTTACTCATCCATGTTCTTTTCCCTGCGAGCCAGTGCCTTCACCCGCTTGCTGGGCCCAGGCTAGCCAGCTCTACCAGGGTCCCAGAGACCCACCAGGCCCACGAACAGCATTTACCTTGTACTCTGTAGAGAGAAGAGAGAGACACACACACAATGGAAACCCATCAGGCTGGGTGCTGCATCCCTCCATGGGCCTGTCTCCACCCTCTCCTCTCCTCTCCTCTGCTCTCCCAAGGCCAGCCGGAGCCCCTGGCCTGGTTGAATTCATTCTGCAGGAGAATCAAGTCTGGTCGGAGCACAACAGGTGGCTGGAGTGAGGGGTTGGATTGGCCTGCAGGTACGTGTCTCAGAAACAACGTTTGAGATACTTGGAATAGAACTGGGGGGAATCTACAACCCTGAAGCCCGCGGGTGAGACCCTCCATCTTCTGGGGGACCCCTTGGGACTTTGGTGCGGGCCTTGCTCCGGCTTGCTCTGGGAGCTGGTGGAGACTGGCGTGGGGCCTCCTGGGCAGAGAGCAGGCAGCTCGTAGAACCTGTACTCAGGGCAGTGTGCATCTGGCTTGCTTCTCGCCCCTGGGGCTCGCGGGCGCCTGTAGTTGAGCAGTGTGAGGGAGGACGGCATGCTGGTGGCTCTGGGGACGCAGATGGGACAATCACCCAAGGACCCACCACCCATGGCCCGCTATGCGAGGGTAGGGGAGTGAAAGGAGCGTGAGGGAATGGGATGTGAGAGAGTTTGGGGGTGGGCCAGCATCAGTGACAAGCGGGGAATCCCAGCGCCCCCTCCCGTGGAGCCCCGGTCATACTCACCTCGCATGCCCCAGTTGACGGCATTCATGCTGTCATAGTGGAAGAGGTCTGCGCTGGGTGTCTGTGGGGTGACAGGAGCCAGACAGCTTGAGGTCAGCTCCCTGCTGACCCCTGGCATTCTAACTGCCTCCAGCAGACAGACGTGGGGAGAGCCCGGGCCTTCTTAGAAGCCGCGGTCTCAACTCATTGCCAAAGCCCTAGAGTCTGGCAGAAGACCCGGCACATAGGAGGGGGCTTCAAAAAGTTTGTGAGACAATAGGATTAAAAGATAATGGAACTTCCCATGGACTGTTGGGAGCCCCTCTGAGTAAGTCTTTCAGTAAACAAAGACCCATCTACCTGGTGAATTTCAACTCGTGCTGTGGTGGTTCCATAATTTGATGTCAACGTGAAGATCTACGGTAGTGTAAGGGGGGTGTTCAATCTGTCAGTCAGGTCACTGCCTGATGGTGACTTCTTGTGGGCGTGGCTTTCTCATAAGGAGGGCTCTGGGAACCTCCCCCTCAATCTCTGCCTGCACCTTTCAGCTGGAGAGCCGCTCTGAGACCTGCCAGAGCCACTACCGTGGAATCCACGAGATTTTGCACCCACTGGCCAGTCATTTCCCTGCATGCCGGAGCACTGCACGTGGCTGTGTGAGCTGATGAGGGACTTACGGG